GGGGGAGATACATGCGCATATGCATGCAGAGACAACCAAGCAGTGTGTGGGGCCTGGGGCAAATCAGCCTGTGTGGGGCCCCGCCCCTGGACACAAGGAAGCCAGCAGAGGATTCAGCAGCAGGGGAGAGGGGCATGGGAAGTGGCTGGATCTTCTATTGACTAACCTTTCTGTGATCTGCCATGTGCCACACATAGGGCACATCCAGACCAACACAGTTGTGGGGTATGTGGCACTGCAAACATGTTTGCGATGCCACATACCATACAGTCCAGTGTTCTCCATGCTACAAGGGCATGCTGCCCAAGCATATGCTGTGCCATTTTTTTTCCCCCTGGGTTTTTTGACCCCTGGGTATCCAGGGGTCAAAAAAAAACTGACACAGCAAATGCTCAGGCAGTGCACGCTGCTCAAAAGCAGAGCTAGGGCGCCTGGAGCTGTGCTGCAGCACCCGGCCAGGGTCTGCATGGTAGAATTGCTCCTGCTGTGGCCCCGGGAGGCCCCCAGGACTCCAGGTGAGGTTGCTGTGCGCCAAAGTGCTCATGGCATGATCATTCCCCAGGGACAAGTAGCTGCAATGCAAGCTGCCAAACTTCCATGCACATCTAGACACAACCACAGAGGCTACCCATGCCATTTGTGGCACTTGTGGTACAGGTTGGCCATTCCTGACTTAAAATGCAGTTTGCCACCTGGGATTTCAATCAGTTTCTGCCTCAGACTGCGGAAGATGTCTAACTGATTACAACTTCTTAGAAAATACTAGAAGATTACTGTATTAGTCATGTTAATAATACTTTTTTTCCTTTCCATATTTTTAGTTGATTCCTACTACAATGAAACTTCCAGAACGACAGCCTGATTTTTTCTTCTACTATTCACTACTGGGAAATGATGTCACAAATGAACCTTTCACTGATTTGATCAATCCAAATTTTGAACCAGAGAGAGCATCAGTTCGAATACGCAGTAGCACTGAAGTCCTTCGAGTTTACCTTTCTGTTCAGCAAAAAATACAGGTAAACAGTTTATTTTTTTACCTGTGGTGACTTAGAAGAAGTAGAATCCTACGTGCAGGCTTAAATTGGAATAAAATCCTGACCTGAAAACCAAGAATATTTTATATATTGCTTATCATTCACCTGGTCTTTAAATAGTATGCAGTAAGTTTAAAAAGATCTGGCTCATCAGACGAATTTTGCTGTTGAAGTCAGTGGAAAAATTGTCAATAACTGGACACAAGTTGGATCTTTAATTCTAGAACCTACTTAAGTCATGATATTCTACCTTAGTTGCAGTACCACAGCCCATCCCACCCCAAAACACTCT